TTCATCAAATTATTTCCTACTCCTTTGCCTCCACCCCCTTCAATCCAGCCTTAGTTTTCCACATAACACTACCCCTACTTGACACTATTTCACATGAGTGTTTACTTACTGTCCACCCTTGCGGTATCCTGAGAACAGTCCCTGATACATAGTGAGTATGGAAGGAACAAGGTCTATGAGTGTCCCTCCTTCTCTCCCTAAAAGAGGTCCATGAACCTAAACCCTGCTCCACCTTCCTCTGAGGCCAGGGAGAATGCAGACTATACCCTCAATCTAGTTGGCGATCAGAGCTCTGGGACAAGGTATTTGTTCTTTTGGCTCTTCCCTGTGTCGACTCTGGATGGCTCATACTTCACCTGCAATTCCTAAAGCATCATGTGTATCCTTTCCATTCAGGTCAGGCTTTGGGAACCATCCACTCCCCTAATCTCTTTAGGGAGTGTAAGTTGGTAACACTTCCATTGCTAGCCCTAACATAGACCATTCCTTTGTAGCTTCCTTACATTCTGCCCTCCTGTATGTAATAAAACTTTTATTAACCTCCCTTAGAATTATTCTAATTTGTGTGTGACATATGTTTCCTGCTGAGACTCTGACAGAGTCTGTCTGTGAACAGTGATTTTAATAGCTTTCTGAATTCCATTAGACCATGAAAACTGAAATGCAGCAAGCGGCCAGCAGCATCCCTCAGAAGCTTGCCACAAATGTGCAGTCCTGGGACCCGCCACACAGCTACTAAGGCTCAGAGATTTTAACAGATTCCCTGTGATTCTTGTGCATGTTCGACTAAGCAGCAACACATTCAAATACTCTGTTTTATTTAACCTCTTTGGGGCACAAAACTTCCAGACTCATTCAGAATAGCTCAGACAATGGGGTCTGACACTTCAGGCAATGAAGGAGATTGACATGCACAAAAATCTTAGAATCACCTACAAGATGGCTTAACCTCAAGACAGAAACAAGCAGGTCCCTTGGGACGGGCAACACCTCAACAACAGGAGTCACCCCAATCACTACTCACTTCTCTCTGAAACTACTTTATAAATCCATGAATGACTTAATCCCTTATCACTTTCTTTTGTGTTTTTTCTTCACTTTCACCTTTGTCCAGCTTCTAATTTGAGCTCATTCCTCACAGCATGTTCACTTTAGTGAAGACCTTCTTATAACCTATTTTGCTTACCACTTACATTTCTATTTCTGATAGTGAAAAGGTTATTCACAAATTCATCCCTATTTAGGCAGAGCTCTGTGCACCAGTCTCCTTCATAGACTAACGGGTTAGCGGCCAATTCCTGATTGAGCAGGCACTAGGCAAGACAGCTTGAAACATTTCTGTCCTGGAATCGGCAGGAGGTGTGCAAGAAAATCACACCGTGATTACATGTCTAGTTAACCTAGCCTGAAAAGACAGCAAACAAGGTTGGAAACGCTGGTTGCAGGCCCTCTCCCCTTTACTTACATTTCCAGTTCCCACCTCCACTCCCCACATTGGCCAAGAACATAAGTATCCCCCAGCAGCCTCTGACAGTTGTAGAGCTGACTTTTCATGTTCAGAGTGTTTCAAATGTTGTGTAACAAAATTAATTACATTTAATTAAAATTATGTATTTTTTATAGCCCTAAACAAATCTAAATGCCACTTTAGGCTTATGAGATGGCAGTCCTCCAAAGGGCTGTGCTGCTGGGTGGATCTATCAGACTTATGTAATTTCAGGGATCATTTTACATGACAAAATCTGATGAACAGCTTTCCAGCTGCAGTTAAGCATCAAAAAACAATTTGTCTCTGCACCTCAGACTAAGCAACTACCTATGGCATCCATCCTTTCTGCATCCCAGCAACAGGCCCCTCAGCACAATACCATCTTCCCCTTTCTGTCTGCTCTTCTCATGGCACACTAAAATCATTAATTTATTCTCCCTCTTCCCCTCCTCTTATCAACTTCCCCCATTATGGGGTAGGAGAGAAGGGAACTGCTTGTATTTCTCAAATACAGAGTGTACCATATGGTAGTTGTCAAATTTATTAGCATTTATTCAACAAGTAATAGATCCTGTGATCCCAAACATTTATGCATCTTAAAACCTCCACTGACAACCAGCACATGGTTCCCTCTGCCAGAATAGGTTAAAGTCATTCACATGGTAGAGATCAACATCAGTAGGATATTAAGGATATAATTTCCCAACAAAAGGAAAGAGGGGAGTAGTGAATATCTGCTGAACAAATCACAATCTACCATGCATTGCTTCCTCAGGTTTCCATCAGTACTTTTCTGATGTTTTAACTAGTTTTCAACATAAGCATACTAAAATCCCCTACAACCTATATTAATCCTTTCTGTTCTGAGGACAACATTTCCAACTTGCTTAAGCAAAAAAGGAACTTACTGTCCCATGACATAACCAGGAAGTCCAAGGAACAAATTAAGTTGAAGCTCAGGGGTCCAAACAAGGCCATTAACCTCCTTCGTCACCCTTTTCACTCCATTCAGCTGGCCGTGTTGACCTTATTCTATACAATTTCTCAGAAGCCATCGCCATTTTTAACTGAAAATGATTGCCAAAGACTTCAGATCCTTCTTAATAATTCCTTCTCTCTCATTTGAACCTCAAAATAATGATTATCTAATTGTCTCTCCCTGAATATGAAATCCACTTCTGGCACACTCTCTCTAAGAAATTGGTTATTATTTCATGGCGGGCCAAATACAGACCTTGAGTCCACTTCTGATATCAGATAGTCTACTGCCACCAACCACACATACACTTAACTAACACCAGATAGCCAAACTTAAGCAAGTCTTGATCTATTTAAACCAATATCTGTTGCTTGAATTTTCTCTAATGGCACAATTCTAATGTTCTAATTAGTTTCTGAAATTCAGCAAAATTAACTCCTCTACAACACACTTCTTAGCCAGGATCTATTGAGTTCCAGGGACAGAATACTCAAATATCAAATCAGGACTTATATTTACTCAATTTTTTATATGTAGAAAGAAATCACACTGCTTTATTTCCTTGTTTGGATCGGGAATATCATCTAAAACTGTACAAATAAACTCAGTGGTAAATATACGGTTTTAATCCTCTTACAACTCTATTTCCTTGAAAAATAGTCAAGGCAAAGAAAGCCTACAGCCAAAACTAACTTCAGGGCCTGGCGCGGTGGCGCAGTGGTTAAGGCCCTCACCTTGCACGCCCGGGATCCCATATGGGCGCCGGTTCTAATCCCAGCGGCCCCGCTTCCCATCTAGCTCCCTGCCTGTGGCCCGGGAAAGCAGTCGAGGATGGCCCAAAGCTTTGGGACCCTGCACCCGCGCAGGAGACCAGAAGAGGCTCCTGGCTTCAGACCAGCATAGTATCGGCCCGTTGTGCTCACTTGGGGAGTGAATCATCGGATGGAAGATCTTCCTCTCTGTATATCCTCCTTTCCAATAAAAGATAAAATAATACATCTTTAAAAAAAAAAAACTAACTTCAAAATCTTCCCAGGCATTCTCTTACCCATTCCCTCACCACAGCCTCTTTATTTAGTTCTCATTCCCATCACTCCACATCCTCCTTCCCAGAGGTGAGAGCGCAATGGGCTACAACAGACCTTGAAGAGTTGTCTGGGTTTATTTATGTCCACACATTAATTCACTAAGCCAATTATACAACAAGTACTGTATTTAGTTCTGAGGATCTGCAGAATGGATGAAACATATCCCTTTCCTCTCAAGAAATGCATCACGTATCAGCAGCAACAGGTTTATCAGCAAGTATGTGACATATGGTATACTAAGGAATTATGGGGGAAAAACTAAGGACCTATGAGCTGAGAAGAGCAATCTGATCATCACGGGATTGGTGGGAGCAACATGGGAGCAGAAGCACAGCAACAAGTTAGGAAAGCCTGCCCCAGTCAGGCCAAACTTAGGAAGAACAGACTGAATCACAGCAGAGGCTGAGAACAATGGATAAGTCACTACAGAAGAGGTATCAGTAGAACTAGTTCAGTTAAGAGCAGGAAGAGGGAAAGCTGTAGGAGTTGCCAAATTTCTCATTTTGATGGCAGAATGACATTGCTGTTGCTCATGAGATGGTGACTACACAAGAGGAAACTGCAGTAGCCGAAGCTGTTAGTGTTCGAGATACCAGATGTAATGCTAACAGGCTTCTCTCTGGGAGCCCTGACTGGTTTGCCGACTTTTGTGCATGGCATAGAGACGTAGGAGAAGATTAAAATAGTGAGAGCGCTACAACAAAACCCATAATGAAATCACAGTGAAGTTTTGATTTCTCCACCATATTCTCTCCTTTTAAAGAATCTGAAGGTTAATTGTAACAAAAAAGAGGCTTTGTTATTACTGATTACAGATTTGCTATTTATTTGAAAGTGAGAAAGAGAGAGAGAGAAACAGAGAAAGAGAGAGAGAGATTGCGCAACTGCTGATTCACTCACCAAATGGTCACAACAGGCAGGGCCATGACAGGCTGAAGCCAGGAGCCAGGAACTTCCTCCAGGTCTCCCATGTGAGTGGCAAAGGCCCAAGTACTCGGGTCCCTCATTCCCTGTCTCATGAGCAAGGAGCTGGACACAAAGCAGAGCAGTTAGGACTCAAATGGTACTCTGATAGAAGATTCAAGCTTGGCAAGTGGGAGTTTAAACCGCTGTGCCACAAGACCAGCCCCAGAAGCTTGGTTTTGTCTTTCCATTCATTATTAGGAGCTGAGTCTGTGTGGATCTATCCTGTATGCTGCCACACAAGATACTTGCATAACACACACAGGCTCCTCCATACTCCACAGTATATACCAACGTCTTCAGATTAAGGAGATCCACAGAGTTTATGAGTGACTGCTAGCAAATTTCCAAATATTGTAAATAATACTATCTGTGAAAAAGCTAACTTAAAAAACACGAAAAGCTTTCGTCTCAGGCACATTCCTTTGAGGTGTTCTAGTATTACAAGACACAACAACAAACACATTAATACAATCTTCAATAGAAAATATGTTTATTATTGATTATCTCAATTCAAAGATACACCTGCTTTCTCAGGGCTGGTCCATCATAGTATCTCTTTGGGAACATTAAATAAAACAAAATTATGTATGATTTTGTTTAATAGTAATGTAGATGCAAAATCCAATTTCTACCAGTAGGACAAGGGCTTCAGTACTTGCAAGCTGAACAAAGGGAGTCCTTCCCTTGACATGAGCAAGCCAGTGGACTGAGCCTAATGCAGCACACACTAGACACTGGGATTCATTGTGGCATGAAGTGTGGCAAGAAGCATGGTCTGTGAGAAGGACTTGGCTATATAGCTGCTTCTTCCTGGAAAATGTGCCCTTTACAAACGGGACACACCAGAGCTAAGTGCCCAAAAGTCAACTGTTTTTCCTGTCCGCAAAAAGAACACCAGATTTCAAGGAGATGTCAAGTGCAGGAAGTTGCTAGTTTTGACTTTTCAGCAGATGCAACACCAGTTCTTCATCCTCTGCTAAAGACAGGCCTGTATCCAGAGGCTCCAGGGTTTCCCACTTGGCCTTCTTCCTCCCACGACTTGCTGGTCCATCATCTTCCACTTCGCTGCTCCTTTTCTTCATTCCCTGCTTCTTCTTGGTATCACTAGTGGGAACAAATCCAATGATTTACTTATATACACAAACTCATTAGTAAGAAATTAAGCATTTAAAATAGGACAAAACTACTAGACATAGTTGGTACAGTGATGGTATTATTATTAAGGGGGAAAAATACATCATCATCAGGTCATCCATATAAGCTTTCTCACCAGTGGGTAAGGAGAGAGGGCCTGCTGTGCAGCAGAGATGTGTGAGGAACCATGTATACAACATGTCTTCCAGTCCTCACAAGAATTCTAGGACTCTGAAGCCACTAAGAACCCCCAGAGGTATCTCTGGCCCTGGTCTATATTTATCCTGTAACATAGAACCATTCCATTTAAAGTGAGATTGTCTGCTAGGTAGCTGTCAGTGGACTAATAGGTACTGATTCTAGTAGCTGTTGCATTAAGTTGTAATAGATTGGGGCTGGCATTGTGGCGTGGAAGGTTAAGTTACTGCCTGCAATGCTAGTATATGAGAACTGGTTTAAGTCTTGACTATTCCATTTCTGATTCAGCTCCTGCTGACATGCCTGGAGAAGCAGCAGTACAGGGCCCAAAGGTTTGGGACCCTGCGGCATACGGGAGACTCAGATGAAAACTCCTGACTCCTAGTTTCAGCCTGGTCTAGCCCTGGCTGTTATGGCCATTTGGGGAGTTAAGCAGTGGATGGAAAATTCTGTGTCTCTTCCCCCGATCCCCAACTTTCCCTCTCTATAACTCTGCCTTTTAAATAAATAAATGTTAAAAATTGTGAAATACAGGTAAAATTAAACCTGATATGGTTAATCACAAACTACTGGACACAACAAATTTCCTCTGTTTAAAATTTATCTCAAGCAGACAAACATATCAACCAGTCTCAAAGCAAACATTATTGCAGCATTCTACAGACATCTATTACACAAACCATAAAAAGCTAATTCCAGAAAATAGAAGAGATCACTCAACACACTAAAAGTAGAAGAAAAATAAAGTATTTCCTTAAAAGCATTTTCAGATGATGCCCATGTTGAAACATGATCCAGTGATTAGACACAACATTAAAACACAAACATTTATCTAACAGCTTCAGTAGTAGTATTCATGCTAAAGCTCACTGAGAGTCTGGCACTGCAACAGGAACTTCAACATCGGTGACATAATTTATCTTCACTAAAACACCATGGGTATGGTTCTGGGTATTGGCTTAGGTCTGGATCCAGATAACACAAATGGGGCTGAAACCAAGATCTGACCAGCTGCGAATCCAGATCCAAAGGGAGCCTATCAAAAAGCACATGGAGTTTGCCAACTTTATTCAGCAATTGGATGACTAACAGAAATAATTGGCTGTGCAAGGACAACTGATTTGGCATTAATAGTCAGACCTTTGCCAATTTTACTATTTCCCAATTTTTCTTCTTAAAGTTAGTGATTTCATACTTGTGATTACTGTGAGCTGGAGCTCTGGCATGGTGAGATGCTGCCATGCCATAAGGGCATTGTTTCGGGTCTATGCTGTTTCACTTCAATAGAGCTCTCTGTTAACGGTTGGGAAAAGCAGCAGAACATGCCCCAGGTGTTTGGGGCCCTGACACCCAAATGGGAAAAGTGGCAGAAGCTCCAGGATGTTCGCTCAGGCCTAGCACTCTGCTGGGTACTGAGACCATCTGTGGAGTGGACCAGTGAATGGAGGATCTCTTTCCATCTTTCCCTGTTTCTGTAATTTTGATTTTCAAAAGAGACATATAAACCTTTTAAGAAAACTTATATATATGACAGTAGTAACCAACATGCTAGTTTACTTTCTACCTATAAATCACTTCCTTTTAAACAGATTCAACCACTGACTGGAGATAGTTCATAAAGATTGAGGATAAGATACCTAAAAGTTTATTTCAGTGTAAAACTTTCTATAAATCCATGTATACAGGTGGCCTTTAGCCTAACCATAGAAAGCATATATTATGAAAAAAAATTATGCATGAATTTAAAAATATTTTTGTACCAAAATAAATTTTTTAATTTTATTTTATTTTTACTTCTTTTTAAAATTATTATCATTTTATGATAGAGTTCCATAGGTCATGGAATTTCCCTTACCTTCTCCCAAGCACTCTCCCTAATTTCCCCTATATAATCAGTATAATATAGTTCTTCATAAACTGTCCTATGTCCTTCATTGCAGGCATGAACAATGGCAGAGAGTCCAGACCCTATAAACTTTTTAATTCTACTTTGCCACAAACTTTTTTTAAGCACCCTCATACAGTAATCAGCAACACCAACGAAAGGTCACAGAAATGCTACACAATCATTCCAAACAAATAATGTATTTCAGGAGAACTGTTCAAGTTACAAAGGACCTTCTTATTGTTTCAGAAGCAGCCTAGCTATGAGAGTGAATGCATCTAATCAGCAGAGCTAGTGGAGACCAGCTTGAAGAGAAAATGTAAAGAATTCTCCCATTTACCTCCCAGAAGTACCCTTCACTGACTCAGACATTCTCTTTTACTACTGAAGGAAAGACAAACTAGACAGCATCACGAGGTTATTTCAACTCACAAATAAATGCATTTCAAAAGGGCTTCTGGGAAGATGAGCATGAAAGAGTTCCTTACAACGGAAATTCAATCAGCAAAGAACTGAATAATCCTTAATGAAAGGGGCTTGAAAGGCACATGGATTAAGTCCACATCTGGTTATGCCTGTGGCCAGTCCTGTGCTAATTCCACTGAGCTGGAGTGCCAACATTCAAAAGGTACAAGATACAGATTTTTCCCTGCCTGTGACTCAAGCACATCTCAGAGCAACTCATCAGAAACAGCCTAATTAGTAGCCTTTACTAATGCATCCTTTGTTAATGTGTTCCTGCACATTATAATCTCTGTAGCAATTAGGTGGCTCAGAATAAAAGAAGATATAAAATTAATAGAACCCAAATATTTTCACAATTAGCAACTTTGCTGCTTTGTGAATCAGTCCAAATTCTAGAAAGGCATTCCTTTCATGGTATTTTGTAACAAGTACTTTTTATTACAAGTAGTAATCTGTAACCAATTAATTGTTAAACAATATAATAGTTCCATAATGGATAATTTACTGAAAAGTGGGATAATGTGATTAATCTAGAAAATAGGTAGTAGAAGGCAAAGTATGGTTGTATCTAGAATCTTCAGAAAATCCGTTTTCCAAATTCTGTTGTACTAGAAGCCTCATTGTATTTCTCTCCTAGTGAACTAGGGAGATAGGATCTGACCCCAACGGTTTACAAGACCCAAGTAAGGACTGAGACTTCATCATTAATGATTAATACAATTCTGTGTATGATAGCTAATTCTGTCCTCTTGGTTCTCAAATCGTTTACTGCAGCTTCTGAGAGGCATTCTTGAATCTCTCATTCAATAATACTGCTAGGTACCATTGCAGTACAGCATTGGTGCAAGCTGACTGGTGAGTGAGCTGAACCCAGTTGAGACTGGAAACATGAGTAGCAAGTATGAGTTAACTTGATGAAATAAGTGTAACCTACCAAAGTTATGTAGATGGCCTGCAATCTAACAAAACAGGGTGGAGTCTAGGAGGTCTGTGTTCTACCTTCATTATCAATGTGTCTGTGGCTCTTACAGGGTGACTCATTCCACAGTCTTCAAAGCATGAAACAAGTGTCACAAAGGGTTACCATTACTCTTAATGTACAGCATTTGAAGTACAACGTGTTAATTGATACAGCACATCTTAAAAACCACTGCTCTAAAACAGGACAAAGAATTCACAGGTACTAATCTTTCAACAACTCAAATCATAAAGAAATTTAATTCGTAATGGCTGATCATTTAAAAAAACTGATCACACAAATAGGTACAAAGAGATTTCATCAAGAAGTATGAATGTTAACTGATAATGGGAAAATTCTGCCTTGAAGATTTTCAAATTTTGCACAAAATGGTTCCACAAAAACTTTTCTCCCAAAACAAACATCTGAGGGTTATTAATTCACAATTAATAATTAAGGCAAAAAAGATACTATTGCAATGCAAATTCAATTTTAAAACAAATAAATGCATTACAATGATTTTTAAATGGACTGTAGCTTGTTCACTTTTTAAATTCTCTAGCCATTCAAATGTCCAAGTTCTCCCATAAGCTGCTTTGATTTTTCAAGTCTTATTTTCTGATTTTAACATTTTAAATTTTTTCAGGTGCTTATAATTACCCAATTTGCCTGAGTAGGAGTAACCTCTGAGATAAGTTCATAAGACAGGGCAAAATCTTGGAGTGGGCACACTCATCAGCTTTCCTCTTGATCCTGCACTGAAGCACAGTGTTTACTCCAGGGATCTGCGGACACTTCTTAAGCACTTGCATTCCCCTATCAGTGGCACACCTCCCTTGCCCTTTTCAGTCCTAGCTTCAACTCCTCATCTCCCTGAGAGGTACTCAATAATCTCCCCATTAAAATTTCATCCATACACATTTTTTTAAGATCTCTTTGATTTGAAAAGCAAAGTTACAGAAAGAGGCAACACAGGGAGACAGACTATCCATCCACTGTTTTACTTTGAAGCCAGGAACCTGGAACTTCATCCAAGATTTCCATGTGGGTGCAAGGTTCAAACATTTGGGCCATATTCTGTTGCTTTCCCAAACATATTAGCCAGGAGCTGGATTGGAAGTAGAGCAGCTGGGATACAAACTGGCACCCATATGGGGGGGAAGATTAGCCTACCATGTCATAGAGCTTATCCTTACCTGTATCTGGCTCCTCTGCTCCCAACTAAAATGTAAACTCCTCAGTAGGAAAGTAAATTAACATATCTGTTTAGGAAGGTAATTTGGACATACCTTTCACAAGTCTTTAAGTGTGCATGTCTAGCATTTGTCTTCTGAGAATTTATTTCAAGGAAATAATATTAGGGATAGGGTACAAACCAACAAGGATATCTAAGGCTAAGCTATTTTTAATTTCACAAAGATGTGAAATATTAAATTATAAAATTATAAATAAGACACCATGCAG